ACGCTGAGATATATCGTGATGTTACAGGTCCGCCTTCTCGACTTCTATTGCCCATTTTCCGAGGTTCATCGCCAGAATTGTGTGTACAGTCCTTGCCTTGCCCCCTCGCAGCCGCCTAGTCTCACCATCCTAAGAGCTGACACATGTAAATCGCAAAGTTAAGGCTCAAGACGGAATCTGTAACATATTTCGAATAGATATTTCCCTGTACTTAATTACACCAGAAAACACCTGACGTAGTAAAGACATTGATTATAGAGGCCATAGGAAATTTGCTTGCAAATATATTAAAAACAAAAAATGCAATAACCTTCGTAGCTACTTTCTTTCATGTCCTTCACATACCTAAAAATCGGAATTCTAGAACAACTGTGCATTTATGCGGCAACACATATATGTTTACACTGAAGCCTGAGAATATTCTGCCCTCTGTTGCGCATATAAAAATCACAAGGGCGACTTGCTGTTAGGCTCAACTTAATGAGTACAGGGCTAATTGCATTGCCATGTCTGAAAGTGAATTCATCACTCTTCCATCGCCTCATGTATTCTTACATACAAAACACTCTCACCTTTTAACCCTCACAATCAATTCTGAAACAGAGAATCTTTTGGGTATGCGGTGCAAATTGTTGAAGGAAAGATCAGCTTGTCGTCAGACACCTCATATTTTAATAGATAGAATATGAACGGACTTCATGTCTCGAGAGGGACTGGTATCCGTAACAACACAGTGTGATTTAGACCCTGAGCCGCTTAAAAAGTTCAGCCTCGGTATCCGGCTTAAATATAATAATAGTAATAAATTAACAATAATATAAAAATTTGTAAATATAAATTTGAATCTGTGAGAATAACTTAACGCTACCTACTGGAATTCAAAATTTCAAACTATACTTCGGGGCTAGCAAGGCCTACATATGTCTTCCCACCTCGGCGGCCTGGGTTCGATCCCGGGTCTTGTCAAGTGGGGTTTGTGGTGAACAAAATGGCGCTGGGGCAGGTTTTCTCCGAGTACTTGGGTTTCCCCTGCCAATCTTCATTCCACCAATTGCTCCACAATCACCCTCACCTATCATCTGGGGCTGGTACAATAGGCCACAAGTGGCCTCAGTACAAGGGACTTAGTCCCAGCCCACTAGCAAAAAAAACAGACCTACATACTAATAATTATAAAATAGGGGCCCATTTGTTTGCGTAGTCTCTACTATTACGTATCTTTACATACCTTAAATTTCAGGCATATAATCTCGACCGTAGTCTTGTGCGTAATTATGAATGCGTAACTAATAATTCACACAAAACACGTATTCCAAATTGTGTTTAAATCAGACACTTATTTATGAAGAATATTTGTGGAAATAAAGCCATGATTGTACCATAAGCTTACCATTCTTCATAAAGTAAGGAGATGAAAGGAAATGCGGTTATATGTTCTTGTTCTCTGCTCACCCCGAGGGTAATCAAAATTTCTTTATACGTATGGAGACATACTAAAGGCTTCACAGGCCTGCACTTGCACCTTGGAACATATCCCCTGTTATTTTTGTTGCCACCCAGAAAAATATGGAAATCGTAAGTTAATAAACACAAAATATCGATAAATGTAAAGGGCACTTTTAGCTACGAAATTATATGTAAATATGTTGCGTGTATCTGAGTCATGCAGGCATACCTCCATTGCATTACACAGTTCTATGTCAAAAGTTATTTTCCGTATAAAAGAATGTATACACAGAAACAGAAGGCGATGCGAATTTGAGGGTGGCGCTCGTTACTTCAAGAAAATGAATGACGTCTCATGATAGAAAAATATAATTTAAAACCCCTGTTTCTATAACATATTTTAGAGTATATACGTATACTCGTATTGCCTATTATCACTTGTTCGCCTGTGCCTCTTGGCATGCAGCAGGTCCCCTTAGTGTAACAGATTATGCTGATTTTGCTGGACCTTGACAGCTGGATCCTCTAGATCCAGATTTCATTTTGCGTTTATTATTTTACTTAGAAATGTATCTCGCCAAATGTACTCGTAATCCGAACCTTTGTCGCATGTTTTCGTCTGTTTCACGATTTTTCAGGCTGATAAATTCGGACTTGGCAGTAAATGTGCGCAGATTTTCTTGCACAAGTGACATTTTCCCCGTCGATTCTCAGAAGTTAAACAAGCGAATTAACATGGATTACTCTGAAATTGATTAATGAATTATGCGATTTAATTTATTCACAACAATAATATCTGTTAGTTTATAAGTCTTTACCTCTCCAAACAAAGTCGTGGAAATTCTCACAGCCTGAATTTTCGGTTACTCTGAGTTCGAGGACGTGTGATTTTTTGGGGGAGAAATTTATGATTCAGTTTTTCGATGGGGAGTATTATCAACCTATGATTCATAAGTTATGGGGTAACCCATCTTCTCTTCCTATCAGATACTCAATACACTTTTAGCTTTTATTATTTAACGACTCGTTGAAATTTAGCAAAGAATAAATTTGAAGAATGCAGTCGCCTGGGATGTGGCACCGTGTAGATGTGGTGTTAACCGACGTTTCGGAGGAACGTATCGCCTCCATCTTCAGGGTAGAAGGAAAAATACAATAAATCCGCAATCGAAGAGACCAAGAGAACCGGTAAAACAGACTGATTATATCTTATCTGCTTGTACCGGCTCTCACGGTCTCTTCGCTTGCGGATTTTCTTCTTTTTCCTTCTACCCTGAAGATGGAGGCGATACGTTCCTCCGAAACGTCGGTTAACACCACATCTACACGGTGCCACATTCCAGAAGACTGCTTTCTTCGTAGTCACCGCCGTGAAAACCTCAAATCTTACAAAGAATAAATTTGTCTATCAGGTTCTACTGTCATTTAATGAATTACAGGCTTATTAAATGTAACTATAATGTGTTTATATTGGAAATGCAGACTTGATGATTTAATTGTGAATACGTGTCGAGAAGCACATCTTTGTGCTAGTCACTCGGCCGGTTATGTCGTCTCTAATGCAACCTAACAGATATATCATCATCAACATCAGCGACAGTACCAAAGTTCTGACCTTTCAGTTCTCTAGAAGGTAGTCTAACAAAGACCTACTACAAAATGACTGCTAAATTATGCACATTTCGCAATTAATACCCTTAAGCATAACCATTAAGCATAACTTCTCAGAAATATTGCTATAAATGCTGTGTATTGAGAAGACTATGTACTCAGCAGACGCACCTGGATTCGATTCCAGCTTACTTACATGAAAATCTGATATTTATGCATAATTTTGTCTATGAATATATAATGTTTAACTAAGAGTATTCGTTCCTGTTGTGATGCATGGTCAGAAACTGAAGCTATACACTCGATTTACATAAGTGCAGATTAAAATCTTTGAAACAAAGCATCAGTACAATTTTTATTTATGAACAAACTATTGACTCGTAACTAATCACCAGACTTTTTAGTTATGATTCAACATAACAGCAGCTTTGCGTTTCCCTCTTAACATGCTGCATCTTATTCATTGCACGCCGTTACTCGGGTGTTCGTCAGCCCTGCTAGTTTGAACCTGTTGCAGACTGCTAGAATTAATACACGTCTCACTAATTCAGCACGCAAAATTCCCTTCCATTGTTTCTGCCTTATCTTGTTTGTTACAAATTCCTTTTTCCCTGATTTATCGATCCTGCATAAAATTACAGTGGCCGTGGTGTGTACAGAATTCGTAACCATTTCCCCACAATACATGTATACTCTTACTCGTGAAAGTCTTCACTAAAGTAAGGTTCTCTTGTTTCATGGAGCTGTTGTATGTAAGTTTTCCTTTCTGTTGTGTAGTTCATGGCTGTGTAAGGTGCTGGCGCATTCCAAAATTGGCGGAAGGCAGTATTTTGTGAGGTGATGAAAACAGTTTATCGCACTATGTGCGCTTTCTGTAGAACTGGCGGGCGGAAAAGCTAAAGATTTTTTTTCAGATAGCTTTACCTTCAGATTGGCATATCTGTGAGGACAAAATCTGATCTTCCTTAATTTTTTGCTTTGTGTTATATACTACACAGCTCATTGGCAGTAACAATAGAAATGAGCCTGGCATTAGCCCACTGTTGGTCATGTGTAGTAAGAATATTTGTGACAGTTTTTGTTACTTTACTTTCCATTTTCTTACATTATTGGGTTGAAACATTTTATTCTTATTTTGAAATAAATTCCAAAAATGCGTCTATAGTTAAGTCTGCTATTAAGAAGTAATAAATGTTTATGAACTAGTGCCTCGAAAATCATTAATACACGACTTTTTCTTTAAAATTGTGGTTTATAATTGCGTTTTTTTTTCAAAAAGAAATTATTTATCTTGGTCTTGAAAATATCAAGAACTCCGGCCAATAATGTGAGCCACCATGCGAACAACAAGGTTGAGTATAATTTTAAAAAAAATCCTAGCGTGGAACACCATATTAGATTCCTGTACATTGCTGTGTTACTTACCTCACAGGAATCGATACAATCCAGAGATGCTTACTTAACATATAGCTGTGCACAATTCACAACCCACTGTTGCTACTGAAACAGTGGATTCGTTCGTCTCTGACTCCATTCTCTCTCATTTGTTAACGTTTCATGGTTCCATTGAACCTCAAACTGCAGCATCTCCAGTCTCATTGTGACTTTTCATGCTTATCACAGAACAAGTGATTTTGATCCATTTTCTCAGCAGGTTATAGGTCAAGGTGCAAGGTGCAATAAATTATAGAAAAGTGCAACACACATAAAAGACAGATATATAACAAGAATGTGTTGTTTATCATGTATAAATATGTTATGTATAAACATATACAACAAGTGCAACACAGTGCAGTGCCATATATATATATATATATTGTTATGTTGGAATGATTATATATAAGTAGATTATTTGAAGGTGTTAGATGTGCTTGATTGATGTTGGTGGTAGTAGATGGTGCTGATGGTGCTTGTTGGTGCCAAGTTGTTGATTGTGAACTCACCATTCCTCTTGGCGTTAAGATGACCATAAAGTCGACTTAAGTCGATGGCCATTACGGATTGCGGCAGGGCGACGCAAAGCGCCGTTAGAGCTACCACCATCAGTACGAGGTGCCTGGGAGTCGAAGCGCGCACCATTGTCTCTTCAGCTGCAGATCTGGTGATGAAGGAGTGTGAGTGTGTATGTGTGGTCCTCGCGCTGGAGAAGAGGCTGGCAAGCGAGTGGCAACTGTCTCAACACTACAGAAAGCAGGGCCTGCCCTTAAAACCAGCCGAAAGCCGTCGCGTCGGATAGTACGCGCCTGTAATTATTTTATAAACCCCGACGAGGTGAACTACCCACGTCACAATACCGATCGACCAATAGGAGAGCCTGCTTCTGCGCGGGAACGAGAGGGTCTATGACCAATGGGAGGAGAGTATAGAATCTAGAAAATCTACACGGGTCTCTGTCTGGTATCTATCGCTACGTGTTCCCATCTCTCTCATAACATTTCATTCCCCACTTTTTGAGCAGGGAAAACTCGAGGGGGAGAATTGAAATGTAGGTATGAGCGGTTAGAACTAGGCGGCCGAGAGACTGGTAGTGCACCTACGCAACACAAATATCCTAACCCTTGAAATGTTAAGTTTCTCTGTTGGAATGCAGGCAGAATGTGTGTATCCCTTTCGGTGGCGACCAGTGTTACAAACGGAAAGAGGATGATGAGGTCTGAGACCACGTTTTGGCGGGAAATGAATGAATGAAATAGTCTAAATAACAACAACCATAGAAGGGACAATAGTCGCCGGTTGATATCTGCACTCCCCCCCACCCTGTCTTTGTGTTTCCTTTCCTTCCTTCTTAGTACGTGGCTCCATTCACACCTCCACAATTCCAAGAGAAGGGAGCACGGGTCAATAAGATGTGTCATCAGGGGGAGGTCAAGTACCCTACTCAGAATAGACAGTGAACTGATGACAAGTTCAGAACACGTGTCCGATCGAGTCAATACAGTATGAGAAAATTAATTTCAGCGGAAAAATTGCATTAAATATTTCCTCTGGCTCCGGTACAGTGTAGACAGGGTTGTACTCTGGCCTATGTAATGTTCTGTATGTTTGAACAAGATTTTGATGTTCTGAACAAGCACTTTTCTAAATTATTTAAATTAAATTACTTGTCTGTACCTTTCACCATTTATTATTATTATAAAGTTTAATCGTAAATGCAGTTATTTATCTTTAAACAAATAGTGTACCGATATCTAAATACAAATGATAAGTTCTTTTCATGGTGTGTGATAAGGCTTGTTTGTAAGTAAATAATTTCATTGCATAATCAACCTAAATGATGTGAAAGTACTTAAGAAATATTAGGACATTCAAATCAAAGGGAATGGGATGGACCGGGTATGCAGCAGGCATGAAAGAGATAAGAAATAAATTAATATGATATTTTAGCGTGGAAGCAGGAATGGGAAGGAATACTTCGGGAACCTAATCTTAGATGTGAAGATAATATCAAAATTAATCTGAAAGAAATAGCGTTTGAAGTTGTAGACTGGATTTGTATGGGTTAAGATGAGTAGTAACGGCTGTTTCATGTGAACACGATACTGAAGTCTGGCATTTTGTGGTGTCGAATGCATCACAGCTGCAAGATGACAAATGCACTGCTCATTACAGATAAATTGTACCTCATATGAAATTTATTTTCACTTGTGTGAACAAGTTACGAAAACTCTGCTAAGCTACCGCCAAACGACAATCCGGGAGGCCCCAAGTCGGCGGTGAGAATGTTGCAGAATTATGAAGAACATTTCACAAGAATCCACAAAAGTCACTGCAAAATGCCACACGTTTAAACATAGGTAAGATAATGAACAGTGCATACGGTTCTGAAACTGAAATTTTGTACTGTGCTTACAACATTAAAAGCTTCAAATGTTACAGGGACCAACTCTCAAAACAGTAGGTTTGCCAACAAGGTTTAAATAAACTTTTGAGGTTACAACGGCTGTGATCAGGATTACTGGTTTTTTCTGTGTGACGTTACTTCTACTAAACCTCAAATCTGCTGGAGACTACTCTACACAGCGTCTGGATAAGTTCTACCGGACCATACTGTGTCAGATTTCAGAAAACTTTTATATCAGACTGTATATTTTAGATATATCTGTAAATTGTTATGGTACAATGTTTTACATCGATGTCCATACGGCTGACTTCTGTTGGGCGAAAACATTTAGAATTATAATTACACAATTTAAAACCCTTATATTGACTTTCCCCTCCCCTTTCAAATTCATAGGGCTGGACTGTGCTTGTATAGAGTTCATTGCACAAATAAAACTGTGTCACGGGCAGACTCACCATCAAGCAGAATGGTTTTATTTTCTTCCGCAGTGTGCATGTTTCCAGTGGCATTTCCATTTATTCGGAACGTTTATTTCAGGTAAAAATAAGGGCATGTAAGCTCTTGTGTAAGTCAGTTTATCCATTAGCTTTTAGTATTCAGGTATTTTATTTAATAACGGAAATCCTACCATGTAGATTTGGATCATAACATGTGTACATAATTTGATTTATAGTAAAGTGGTACCTTCCGCGCCCGCAACAAACATTCTGCAGTAGAAGAAGAGAGAAGTGCGAGCAGCTTAATAACTTGCAGCGTAAAGGTCATGGGTTAGATTACTGTACACACAAAGCTTTCGTTCTGTTATCTATAAGAAATCCACTATCCCCGGTGTACATATACAGGCTTAATAGATAAGTGGACATCCTGTACTTAGCGTAACGAAATTAGTTTGCAAATTAAGGATGGTAAAATACTAATACATTTCGACACAAGTAAATAGATACGAAGCCGGTCACGGTAGCCGAGCGGTCTAAGGCAAGCACTGTCTTCACTCTCCCGGAAGCCGGGATCGTGGGTTCGAATCCCACTCAGGGCATGGATGTTTGTGTGCGTTTTTCTGTGTTTGTCACCAGGTAGTGGCCTTGCGACGAGCTGATCACTTGCCCAAGGAGTCTTATCGTATGTGTAAGATCTAGAAAAACCGAAGTGAACGGAAGTTCATGGAGGTAGGCCTAGGCCCACTAGGGCTGTAGTGCCAAGGGAACAAAAATAGATACGAAATTACGGAAAATATCAGTCAGAGAAGTCCGCAGACGTGTACAGGTACACAAAGAAGCAAAGAGTGTGGTCCTTCTCTCGGTTTTACTTTGTAGGTACAGATAAGTATAAGAAAGCAGACAGCGAGAAGACGGAGTATTCGAATCCGTTTTTTTTTTGGGGGGGGGGTCTATCGGGAATAATATAATACTTATATCTAATAAACAATTATATCTTGTTGGTTTCAGCTTGTTACTCTTCGTGAAATTTGTCTGTCTAGGGTTACATTTTTATACAATCATATTCGACTCAGATTTATAGAATGTGAACACAAACATATTCACAAAAAACTGAATGTCATTTATAAAGTTTAGTGTTTCAAAATATTCGCTCAAAAAAATCTAAAATAATAAGAAACTAATGTCTATTTTTCGTAATGAAAAGCTTTGTCATAGGAGTCTGTATAATTTATTGTATTAAGAGCGATGTATCTGAAATGTATATTTTCATTGGTGCCGTATATACAGGCTTGTATTCTGAGGCAATGTTCAAAACTTCGCAACATCATCACAACACATGCAGTTCAACAGTTAAACGTTAAGAATACCGTCCTGCAGGAAAGTACGTATTTCATTTTAGATTCTATTGATATGGAAAATTCATGCCCCAAATCTTGATCAACTTGTAGGTCTTCTGTAATTCAGCTCGCTTTGTTATGTGATATAAGGAAATTGCAATTCGCTGATTGCTGCGCATTGTTATCTGATGTAAGGAAATTGAAATTCGCTGATTGCTACACTTTGTTATCTGATGTAGGGAAATTGCAATTCGCTGATTACTGCGCTTTGTTATCTGATGTAGGGAAATTGCAATTCGTTGATTGCTGCGCTTTGTTATCTGATGTAGGGAAATTGCAATTCGTTGATTACTGCGCTTTGTTATCTGATGTAGGAAAATTACAATTCGCTGATTGCTGCTCATTGTTATCTGATGTAGGGAAATTGCAATTCGTTGATTGCTGGGCTTTATTTACAACTTTAAATATGATTTATAAATGCGCAAACTCCTGAGATTTCCAGAATTCTCACGTAAGTAACTATAGAATAAAACAAGCATTTAGCAAAGTATTTCAGAAGCAAAAGTTGTGAAGTAAATATTAACTTTTCCCTGCTTTAAACATCAGTTCATATAGAAGTGAGAGCTGAAGGCTGAAGATAAAACCTCACGCTGTTTACTTATCGGAACTCGCTGGAGATGAGTGATCAGCTTCAGGCTTCGGCCTCTTTACCCATGAGGAATAGCCCCCGATGCCGATTTGAGTGGACCTCGAATCAATTATCGTCACGTGTTAGCAGATTTTCGGTGTTCCACAACATAATCCCCTAATTAAGGATATATATTATGGCCAAAATATTAATCAGGAATACGTTACGTCACAAAATAAAATTATTCCCTTAAATATATATAGAGAATTGAATATAATTTTACATTTTGATATCAAGTAGCCACGTCATTCTTGTGCATGAACTATTGTGAAAATATCAGATGTCCTGCTAATTTTATATTACATCAAATTCTAATCTAAATACTATATTGCTTTCACCGATATATACTTATAGTTCAGTACCAAATGCAAGCAATTTTCGCACCGGAAACTCCTACGTTAATTACCAAAAACTGCTGAATTTCGTAATCACTCCGGTTTAAGTTTGACCAATATAATTAATGAGATGCTTGCGATGCTGTCATCAGCGCAGTTTTGTAGATGGTAGAGTTCCTGGCCCCGTGTCGGTTCCATTTCCTGTGGCGTAAATGAATTGAAAATGTCTCTGTGAAATTATGGTATTATATAATTAATTTCATTTGTTGATTGCAGGTACATTTATTTCCCCTTTTAACACAGCATAACATTGAAGATTGATATGTTAGAAGAAGTTTTTCAGCAATAGTGAACCCAACAGATGCGAATTTATGCGAAATAACCAACAGAGAAAGAGCAGTTGCAGCAGAAGTCCGAAACTCGCGAGAGCCATTGCTTTCTTGTAAGCATAAATTCTACGTGTACTTATTATCAGATTTGGAATCATATCGTATTCTAATTTAATTTTCATTCTATAACAACCCAAGCACAGCGTTCGTGAATTTATAATTTTATTCAACCTGACGTTCTTCGAAGATTATCAAGGGAATATATTCCACAATTTCATAG